GATCCAAAAAATGGAACCCCCTCATAATCCCCCAGTTTCCCCAATGTAGTAATGGGTTCATATTGGGGGGGTTCCATTTTTTGGATCCTTTAGGGGGTCTGGGTAAGTGCTTGACGAAAGAGTTCATACAAAGATGGCACAGCAGCGGTGGCATCTCATCACCCGCCAACTTGTTCACACAGGCGCCAGCATCTACCAGTAAGTGGAAGATCTCCATGTGGCCTCTGGGGTCTAAACTCCAAGTGGGTAGTTCCCAAAATTAGGGTCCCATTTAAGTAGCCCTAAATATTAGGTGCCATAATAGAATATAGAACCAACATGGGCCCATAATTTTGGGAACTACCCAAGTATCCCACTTAATAACCCACAGGGTTTAAGTTTCGAGGTTTATTATACTCGTCCCCTATATAATCCCCTGTATAACCCACTCTTAAGGAGTTTGAACACTAAATCCCTATATAACCCTTTAAGGATCTTAGACTACAGCTCAGATGGCCTCGACCAATTGCCCAATGCAGAGGTCTGAATCCAGGTTCGACCTTGTCTCTCCCATCTGGGTCCTGCGGTCGATGCCTGGACTGTAGCCATTGGGGTAATATTTGGGCTATATTGGGATAATGGAAAAGAAAGTGGAAACTACTATAGGGTTTAGGGTTTAGCTAACCTACCATTATGAGGAGACTCCATTGATGCTTCCTATGCAATCCAGGCGATGGTAACTTCATAACAGCAAGCCAGTTGCAGAATGTCCTCAACCTTGGAGATCTCGCCCTTCTTTGTGGCATCTAATAGCTGAGCCGTCTGCTGCTTTGAAGCGGGAATGAATGGTAGCACCTTGAGTTTCAAGTCCCGTCCGGAAGTGAGTTTTGTGTCATTCTTCAAGATTGTGCCATCGTGAACAAAGCGCAGTCTGAAGCGCGGCAGCCCACATTGAATCTGGACCTGTTGCGCCAGAGTCTTCACGTCCGGCGCCACCTCGAGGGGAATTACAGCCAGCTCTTCCCCAGTCTGCGACAGGACGCGCGTCGCTGTCCAGACTGACCGTCTCCGCATCATGATGGTGGACGGTGGGCGGTTTGCTGGTAGAATGGCTTTGGCCTCTAGACTTACTTTAGCCGTCCTTGAAGCACTTGCTGGACAGTTCGCAGTGAGTTTGTTGTACTGAAGCTTCGCGGCCTTTTGAGTCGAACTGCGCTAGGAACTGATTTTTTGCAAGCCCACCTTGCATGTGTCATGTCATTCTTGTATGGGTCCTTGGGTTCGAGATTAGCCTGCCAAGGGTTAGGGCCAAAATGGCAGCTAACATACATGGTTGCCTGCTGGACATCCAGGGTACCCATGAATATGCCACAAGGAATTGCGACTGCTCAACAGCTGTGGAACTCCTAGAACTTGTGCGAGATCTGACGGAAGAAAGTTGTCAGAATCGAAAGGCAGGCAAAGTGTGATAAATATGAGCTATAATCTACACTCCTGCTAGCCCACTGAATAACCCCTATAACCGTCCCCTATATAATCCTCTAGATAACCCCCTTAAGGAGTTTAGACCGTAGCTCATATAGACATCCCAAGCTAGGAATTAAATGGTGGCACGAAGACCCCCGCCCACCATTGTTGCTGCTGTCACTGCTCACATCTTAGAGCATTTTGGGTTCCAATTTGATTGACTCCGAGTACCGTGAAACTCTCATGCATCCGAGCCTGCTACACAAGCTACGCAAATTAACCCGGCTACTCGCAGTCCCTAAATCCCAAACCCTAAACCATAAACACAAAGGAACAGGTAAGATAAACATTCAACCTCTGCCCCAAATGCGGTCTAAGCACACCTGGAAAAAGTGTAGGCATCATGAGTAGACATAGCAGCGTCCCTCAAATGTGGGAACCTTTTCGGGACTCATCATTTGGATCACTTTCGGGGGGGGGGGAGGGGGGGGGCTCAATCTTGTGCTACGGCTAGGTGTGGACATGGTTTAGGGGTTTGGGGTTTAGGGTACATGCTATGCGAGTGGCACTTGCATGGCAATCGGGCAGTGCCGCCAAGCATCCATGCTGAGGGCATAGACCTCACTCGGGGCGGCCAAAGAGCAGTTCAACCGTTGGATACATATGGTAGTTTCCTTAAATTGGGGGACCCCTATATAAACCCCAACATACCATTATCCTTGTTGGGGGGATCCTCAAAAATACCACCAATTTTGGGAAACCCCATGTAGAAATTGGGCTTACTGACAGTGGCTATCTGGCATGAAGGCTGGAGTTCCAAAGCCCTCAGTCCCTGACTGCAAACTCTTGTGGAATTCGAGGGTTTGGCGTTATTCAGCTGGTCATCCCAAATGCCCTCTGCGTCACCCCAGTGCCGCCCCAACGCTTTGTCACCGTTCACGGGTATCTCAAGAAAGGGGGCGGGGGGCCTTCGCGGTTTTAAGGTATCGGTGATTGCAAACAATTCTGCGAAACTCCGTTTCAGTTGCTTTGACGGTATTTTGCCATAAGAAATGCCTCTGCGTGAGCTGCGGGGTGCATGGCTTGGAGGCCATGGATATTTATATGGGAGATTATAGGGATTATATAGGAACTATATAGGGATTATGTAGGGCAGTGTAGGGTTTAGGGTTTAGGGTTCAGGGTTAGGACGACTCCATGCTCACTGCTGCCAAGCTGCACGATTGATGCCGCTACCCTGGCCCACGCGGAAGTAGATCACACCGTTCCCCATGGTGGGAGACGTGTTCGACTTCTCGTCCTCACGGCGATGGATTCTTCTCATGTGAGCTATAATCTAAACTCCTCAAAGGGGGGTTATATGGGGAATAATTTAGGGTACTACCATGGGGGTTATTAAGGTGGATACTAGGAGTTTAGACTCATGTCTTCTTGGAGGAACTTCAAGCACCTCTTTACATCCACCAATCCATAAGCAGATCTATGAGTATACAGTCCCGCTTAAGAAGATAGAATATTGAATTGACCTACATCATAGTAAGATCCCCATGTGCCCCATATTCTATCTACTTAAAGGGGACTATAGATCGTCTCCCATAGTAATTACTGATGTATCACTTCAGGACTCCACCACCCTCCCCTCAGCTACGCTGCCGGTCAAAATATGCATAACAACCTGCGAGCCCAAGAAAAGAAGATATACCCAACCCCTCCTAGGTAGTTCCTTTCTGGGTAGTATAATCCCTCACCAAAAAAAGGAAACAAACCCAACAAGGAACTACATAGGAGCCCTTGGGGTATATGTGTAGTGTTTGTCTACATCTTCATACGTACAGAGATGGATACTTAAAATGTCATGTACATAGATGTGTGCGGCATGTGCGTGTTCTCTGCTTTCTGGAGACGGGAACGCTGCCAGGACCCCTTTTCAGGGTGCTTTGTAGACTGTTTTCGGGAATTGTAGAGTTCCTGCAAAAAGGTTAAGCATACTATCAAATGAAAAATAACATCCCTACTGCAGGATCTGAGTCGTCAAGAGGTTTCTGTGTGAAACACTTCCAATTTGCAAGTTCATGGGCACCTTTTTTTACAACGCGATCCTTTTTAGGTAGAACCTCAACATAGGCAATCTCTTCATGCACAAGGAGATGCCCAAGATAAGCCAAAGTGTCAAATACAACTTTCCACCTACTTTAAAATGCCTTTGCTATTGCTTCATCTTCAGGGTGGCAACCTTTTCTTTGTCTCGCATGAAAATTAATCCCTGAACTGGCACCTAGTGAAATAGAGACATCCCTCACAACGGCGTCTCTTGACCTGCACTTCCTCCTTCCAAGTTTCCTATTACATGATGGACATGCCAGATATGCAGTTGCAAAACGTAACGCTGTTGCTAACCCTCGCGCGCAGCCTATTGCATATGGTAGGGGTGCTCGTCTCCAAAATGGCTATGAGGTAGGTTCCCGTTTGATGCCAATTTAAGGAACTGCATGCCCGGTGGTCCCTCGTCTACAAAGACCTGTAGCACAACCTCCGTATGTGGATTGATATCTCCAAAAAGGGACCTCTTCGCATCTCATTTGCTGTAGCAGTGGGTCTTGGACGATGTTTCCGCGGTTCTCACATTCTGGCAAAACACCAAACGCGCCGCACAAATGCATCAAAAGATTTGATTTAAAGTCCGCAGGACTTCCCTGTAAATCTAGGTTTAGGGTTTAGGGTTTAGGGAATGTAGACGCAATTTACACATCTACCAATGAGAATCATAGTCTAACCTCCACGTGAATGATTGGATCTACGCCATAATGAGCCCACGTTCATCGGAACATTTTCTACAACGCGCTCTTGATCAAGAACCTCAATACAATGTTTTCATGCGGAGAGATGCCCTAGACCCTAAATTAGTCAATTCCAGATTGCCACCGAAGTCGATGCCTCCCCTGTGGCCTGTGCTTTATCAAATCTAATCGGTTAGAAGTATGCGCCTCTATTATGGTGTAGGGTTTAAGGTCTAGGTTTCAAGTAGGGGCCCTATCATGGGCCCTAGACTTTAGGGCCCATACTAGGGGCCCGTGGTTTCAACCTTAGATTTAAATATGGTTGTCCTTTTAGTCATCCAGACGTTTTCCTTGAAATGCCCCCCAATGTCACGGACTTCCTTCCTGATGACATCGCTTTGCCGGAGGTCTCCCTCCCAACTCTCCTACTTCAGCATAGATATGCATATACAAACTGTGCCACTGGGACCTCGCAGGCCTGCAAATGACCTATCAAATAGTGAGAAATCTCCATACCCCATCACTTTTTCCATTACGAAGCGTGTGGACCCCTATATCATATATAGTTCCCCCCTGACCCCTGGTAAGCCTGTGCAACCATTGTTTCCCCTTATATACGCCCATGGGAGCTATAGTCTACACAAATTTAAAAATTCCTAGTATCCCCTAGTAACCCCTGTAGTAGTCCCCTATGTAATCCCTTATAACCCCGAATAGAACCCCCTGTTCAGGAGTTTAAGTTTAGACTATAGCCCTAAACCCCAACCCCTAAACCACAAGCCGACGGCCTGAACAAAGAGCCACAATAGCTTCCCGTCAGGGCTGAACTTTCGCAATCGCTGCGTTCCAGCCACCTTGGTCTTCGTCGCTGTTAAGGAACTTCAGTTACCATAATATGGATATGTAGTATACGGAACTTAGATTAATTTATCATAATATGGGCATATAGTATAAGGAACTTAAATTAAGTTAGCATAATCTGGGTATATCGTATATAGCAGGTTTTCCTATTGATCTAGAAGCTAGTTACCATATGTTACCATACTGTGGGCATTGTAAATAGTGGTATCAGCGACCCAGTGGTGTGTTGCATAAAGTCGGCCGCTTAATGGGCAGTTGGCAAAATGAAGATGATCCATTTTGGGGGGTATTTATTAGGGGTGGCAGTGGGAGCCGAACAAGGGACTATCACTTTGACAACCAGCAGGTTTCTGGAAACAATTAACTGGGTTGCTGTTAAGGA